CTATCCTCGATTACGAATCAAAATGCAGATGCGTTGTCACCCGTGAGGTTAGATGGAATGCCTCGTTTCCAGTAAAAAAAGGGTTTCCAGTTCTCTACACTGACCATACGAAACACAGCATCATTATGCTGCTATTTTACGCTGGTATTCTGTGAGAGCGTGGTCCTTCCCCGGTCGAGCCGACCCATTCGTGCTACAACTATAACAGTAATATAGCTGCAGCATGGCTCTACCACGTAATCCTCCCAACCTTCTATCAATAATTGCTACAGTGTACTTAATTATCTTAGGTATCAATGATAATTATGGAAATTTCTGTATAATTGTGAAAGCTTCTTAGATTTATGTGAAAGTGACTTTATCTGATTTAAATGGCCTCTTCTTGTCTTGACATTTTCTATGCAAACATTTATAAACAACAACAATTACAATTAGCGCACATATTCAAACTTGTAATTTTTATATTTAAATATTCCTTTTTTCAGCTCAATACACTGCATATCGAATGTGTTGAAGAGAACCTTTCCACTGAAAATATTCAAGTGCAAGCAGCAAGAGTCCAATTATATGTTTACTCTATAGCATTATATCACAGATGGGATTCTGAAAGGCACGGACATCATTAGATTCGAAAAGTGTACATTGCCACCAATGCAAAAAAAAGCCTTAAACGAGTTTAAAAAAGTTAAAAAAATAAAGCATATAATAAATAATGTATACAATGCATTTTATTTTCACGAATCCTCCTTCATAATAAAATAATAATAGTAATTATATATATATATATATATTTTATACTAGGCTGAAATAAAATTATTCCTTTGCCTATATTCAATTCATATTAAAAAAAAAGAAATGTCACATTCTGATTTGCTCTACTCTCCAAACCAGTTAGATTAGTTAATAGCTTAGTAAACTATTAACTAATCTGTGTCCAAACTAAATCACAGAGTATCTTACTGTAACTTTTTTTATTATAATAGATTATGCGTAGGTAGAATGATCAGTACGTATTTTTAATTATTGTTTATTTAGAGTATATATATAATATATATATATATATTGTTACTTAATTTATTAAAACGAGATCTATTTTTAATAATTTGTCATTTATATTGCATGATATGAGGTAAATTAATATGGTAATATATAATATTATCACAATAGCATTTTAATTACATTTTTATATAAGGAACTATATAAATAGGAAGGAATCGAAGCTAATGAAATATATTTATTTAAATCTAGAACTGGGTCCCCAAAAGCCCTAACCTAAGTTCGCTTGAGGCATGGACACAACGCTGATACTTTTTATGTTATGCCTTATGAATTACTGTGAGAAAACATAGTAAAATTTTAAAATCTTCTACCATTTCTGTTTACACATGAATTATACGTATATACACTTACTTGTTGTTTTTTGCTGAAAATTAATTTCAATTAATAAAATGTATAAATGTTATATTAAAAATATGTATTAGGAATTTAATTAAATGCCTTTAAACAATATAAGTTTTGTTAATTTTTGCCTTCTTCGTACTATATTTATCGTCTTCCTTAAAATGCAAGGAACAAATATATTAATGTATGTATGATCTTTTGGTAACCACATCTCTTCTCTACGATTATTTTGGACGAATTTAATCCACTTTTCTCGGTTTTCGTGGCTTGGACCTGGAAACCTAAAAATAAAATAAAAGAATAATCAGCAAATAAAAACATAAGAAATTTAGCGTAATTATAAATAGGTTCTATTTATTTCTACAAAACAAATTGTGCATAAAATAATCGTCTTGTTAATATAACTGTGCATAATATAATGTCGTATCTGAACAAAATAATTTCATAATCTATTTATATAAGTTGGCGCCAAAGAAATAACTTTTTAATTATTAATCTATAAAGTTTTTTTATTATTTAAGTATCTTACTTACCGATGAAAAGTGATTCCTTGGTTTTTACTAATATTTCGTGAATTTTTTGTGCAATATCTAAGAACACACCCCGGCATATTTTATCAAGATTTTTTTTTTAAATCTATACAACATGTGACTACTCTACAAGCGCCTAGCGAGCGACTGATTAATGTGCGGTGATATTGCTGCAGTTGAATGGAACAGCGTAACTTAGTGCAGTGTCGCCTCTAGTACGTAGTACATAATAACTCAATGGCTGAGTATATGCTAAGATAAACTTTGATTCCGAATTTATAGTTTTATCGGGCTAAGATTAAGCTAAGCTTATGTTAAGGTCCAGACAGTCCAAATATTCATGGATGCTTCATTCCACGCATCATGTTTTGACTTCACTGTATAAAATTAAAAAAATATATATTTAAAATCAATATTACCGTATAAAATTTAAAAAAGATATACATTTAAAATCGAAAACAGTCCAAATTGTATTTCACAAATAAGTTATTATTACATGAAAAAGAAAAAGGACGAATGAGAACGGGAAAGGATGAAATAAGTGCAAAATCAAAAGAAAAAAATAAGATTTTAAGAAATTCGAAATAAGATTGAAATTACGTAAATAGAATTATGCTATTTAAAACTAGAAGACGGTCTAAAACTATCTATTTATTGTTATAATTAATTAGAGTAACATAAAAACAACATATTTAAAATTAATACGGTGGTTTTGAATAATTTCCTGAGTTTTACGTAAGTCGTCGATATCGTTGACTTAGGCTTTGCTAAGCGTGCACTCAGCACGACTTCGAAGTTAGCTCTATAAATACCGACATTGTCTTAGCTTGAAAGTAAAGTCTGAGCAAAGTCAAAGTACGGTATATAGATCTCAGTCTCAGCCTTAATGTACCAGAGACGTCCATCTGAACGCGTAGTGTTTCTATATAGTTTGTGTTTTATACACAGCACAGAGTACATCTTTTATATCTCTATGGAATTACGGAAAGGTAGATTATCAAAATTGAAAACGGTCACACAGAAAAGCGCATTTATTTTATTTTTAGCTATTTACGATAATAATAACGTAAGTTACAATATTGTTTATGATTAAAGTAACTTTTTTTCGTTAATTTTTATTTTTACTGTAGTTTATTTGCAATAAAACATATTAACAGTTCTGTCTAATATTTCTAGGTTGGTTATAAATATTAGTGACACAATGACCGATTCAGTAAATATGTCGTTAGGTAAGAAAAACATATCTACTTTTCACATTATATTTTATAATGTAATTGCTATTATAATTTTATATGATATTGCTACATAGATATTTTGATACTATTTTTTAATGCAAACAGTTTTATTTTAATTTCAGATGATATTATAAAACAAAATCGTACGAATAAATCTCGAGGAAGAGGTGGCGGGACAATACGAGGACGGGGTGGAGGTGGACGTGGAGCCCGCAGAGGTCGAGGTAGCGGTGCGGGACTTACTCGTTCTGGAACTCCTGCAGCACGACAGGGTCGTTTGCGTTCTCGAGGACGGTCCCAATCTCGTAGCCGTTCACAGACCCGTGGGCGATCACAATCCCGAGGTCGTTCACAGTCCAGAAACCGCTCACGCTCGCGTCAACAAAGACGGTCTTCATCTCGTGCTAGGTCAGCATCGAGATCGAGATCAAGATCAAATTTAAGAGGTTTAACTCCTAAAGGCAGAGCTGGCCTTGATGATCAACAGACAGAAATGCCACAATTGGTACGAACCAACAACTTTAATAGAGGAAGAGGTAAGGAGTGTTTTTCTTTAAATATTTTCTTTTTTTTTATTAACAATTTAACTGGATTTCGAATTATTTCTTTTTAAGGTGGATTTCAAAACAGACTTCGCAGAGCCAATTCTAATTCAAATTTACAAATGGGAGTACACAGTCGATTAGGTATTGGTACTCGTAGAGGAGCTGCTAATAATATCAATCGTCCTCTTGCAGTAGCCAAGAGAGGTATTGCAAAACGTGGACGTGGTTTTACTACTAGAAATAGATATAGTAATGTTGGATTGAGATCTGATCAAATAATTAAACAACAACGTCAGAATTTAATGTTAAACAATTCTGTTATAAAGTCTCAGACTTTTACCAGGTCAAGAAACAATTCTTTCAACTCACCTTCTCAACTTACTGTAAGTGTTGCTAATGATTTTGCAAAGAGACGCAGGAACAGTGTAGGAAATGCTAATTACTTGGATCAACAAAGCTTAGCTCAACTTAATAATCAGTTTGGTGTGTACAATACTAGACGAGGACCAGGCAGTGTTAAGTCCCTTGGTTCAAATAGATCTAATAGATCTAGTCGTTCCAATCGATCTAACACCAGTAATAGATCAAATCGTAGCAGGGGTCGTGGACGCAGAGGAATTAATCGTGGAGTTGGACGCAAATTTGTTAATAAACAAATCCTTAATCCAAAACTTCAAAAGGAAATTGCAGCTATTCAGGGTAAAAGTTTCAGTAGTAGTTCAAATCAAAGTGAGGCCCCAAGTGGTGTGAATTTTACTCCAACACCTGCTGCTACTGGGCAAACCTTACATCAGAGGTTTGCTAGTGCTTAATCTAGAATAATTTCTATTTTCTTATAAGTTTAACTAAATAGTATTAAGAAAAAAGATATTAGGACTGACCATATTTCATAATAGTACAGAAGAAATTTAAAATATCTAATGGCCATTTCTATATACTTTTAAGTATTTGTTTTGATTGTGCTGATTATAAAATTAACAAGCTTGTTTTTATTTTTTTTATTTTTATAAAGACTCCCTTAATGCTTTGTCACACCCTTTATTGGTTTATTGTATAGTTCTAATGACATTCATTCTATTGTACTATTCTTGACTAGATTAAAGTCTAACAAAAAGGATAATTTTCTATGGTTTGTGAACATCATATTTTTTATAAAACAGTAAAATAAAACATTGTGCCGATAAAACATCATTTTATTTAATTTTTTATAATACAACAAATAAGTAACACCTTGGTAATATATACCATAAATATATTTCACCTGTTGAGATGATATGCATTTAGTCCCTTCACATTCTATACATTTTTGGCATCATTATAAGGGAATCTGTAACTAAAGAAATATGTTATGAGGGCAAAAATTTACAGCTGAAAATTGTTGTTTATCATTAACTTAAAAGTTTATATTTAGTGAAGAGTGAGAAAGTAGCATTTCTTAAATACTGATTTTTACGAGTAAGGCACTGATTATTTCACAATAAATTACAGTGAACTGGTAATTTTAATGCTTTCAAATTATAGTATTTAATAAGAAGAGGAATTAAACTTATATCACATTTTAAACACACTCATGGCTGTTAATTGGTTGAATTTCAACCACCAGTGACTGGTAATTATTAAAGCAATAAATCAGACACAAAATAATTGTTATTTACTTCAAAATGCTTTCAGTAGTCATGGAATTATCACTAACTCAATTCCTTAGATTAAAAACAAATGTTAAAACAAAATCAACTTATATGAAGTTTTAAAGAAATAACTATTCACAAGCCTTAGTCAAAAGTACATGGAAAATAGTGCAGATACTTACAGTTTTCTCCAAGTATGTTACTTAAAATAAGTCCATGAAAAGAATTAATTTCATCTTCAGTGTTTTCAATTGAGCTATTGCTTTCAAATGTCCATCCTAAGTGATGCCCGCAGTGTGGACATGTGCATATCCTCCATGTATACCCCGGAAACCAAGAATCTGCACCTTGATTCTGGACAGAAAGAGTCTACAATTAATGTTTCCTGATAACCATCTCAATAATGAAGTTTAAAATCTAAAGTCTAAGAATAAATAATAATCTGTCCACTGATGCTGGACAGGGGCATTTTTAAATAACAACCAGCTATTGCCAGTGATCATGTCTGTAGTATTAACAGCTAAGCTTTTAAAGAATACATCTGCAAAATAGCAGTATAAGGCTATTGCTATAGCTCTGAAGCCCTGAGTCTGATGAAGCTGTAAGACCCTCATAGGCTAACAGCATTAATATCACAGAAACACCAATACACAATACAAGAGGAAATTTTAGTGTCAAGGTTTTAAAAAAAACTTTTGTTGCTGATAACAAGGTGTTCCATATTAATCCTCAATACCCTTCTTATACATCTGCATTTTGATTTTTTATTGATAGAAAATGAAGATTGTTATTATTTAATACATTTCAAAAACATAAAAGTTGCACATGAATAAACACTATTGATCTAAAACAATTATTTGTAGGACATATTGTGCAATCGAGTTAACTCCACACCTCACTGGAATGCGTTGCCACTCCCACTTACCTGTGTATGTCACTGCGATCATCATGTTGCATTAGTATTGTAGAGCTGTACACCTTTTGCTGTAGCAGAGCATTGATATGATGTCATAAACACTAGGTTCGGAGTTAACTGGATTGGGTTTATACATAAGTCATATTAAGCAGAAAAGGTAATTAAGACTCATCTTTGCAGTGATCAGCAGAATCTGATACCTTGACATGCTTGTGTTTTGGAGGCATTAAATCTCACGAGGTTGGCATCGCCCCATTCAGAGACTGCCTGTATTGTGAGATTCACACGCTCAACCATAGCCTCTCTTTCTGACTGGATTTGATCCCAACTGGCCTGGGCACTTAGTTGGTATCTCTCCACAAATGTGCTGTCGTCTGCATACCCATAGATACCGGGAATGAGCAGATCATTTATATGCAGCAAGAAGAGAGTTGCGGAAAGAACGGACCCCTGAGGAACACCGGCGTTAGTTGAATGAGCAGCCATCCACGATGACCCGGAAAGACCGTTCACTCAGAGAGTCCTTCACCCAGATAATCAGGCCAGGAGATAAGCCGTATGCTGAAAACTTGCCTAATAGACTAGCGTGCTAAACCCTGTCAAAGGCCTTCGAAACATCGAGGGAAACAACAAGTGCTTCACCACTATTCACGAGGGCTTCGCCCCATATGTGAGTGGCATACACTAGACGGTCCCCATTTGATCGATTTCGACGAAACTCATACTGGCGATCACTGAGGAGATCATTTTGCTCTAGGTATGCAATGAGGTGTGCATTCAATATACGCTCCATTATCTGGCAGAGTATGGAGGCAATACCTTTTTTAGGCACAGGCTGCACATTGGCCAGCCTCCAAGATTTGGGCACTATTCCAGTCCTGAGTGAGAGACGGAACAAGCATGTCAACACTGGAGACAACTCAGGTGCACAGACCTTTAGAACTATAGCTGGTATACCATCAGGTCCACTAGCTTTGTTCACGTCTAGACTTCACAAGGTTTTAACAACCTCCTTGTTGGTGAACGGACCTCTGACATAGAGGTATCGCAGTGAGGTAATTGAGATGGTACACTGTTGCTACTGTCTACAAAAAGAGAAGCAAATAAGTTCGCTTTCTCCTTAGGCACATGCGCCAGTGAGCCGTCTGGTTTTACCAGCAGGGGGGGGGGGGCAGTGTAGACCGACAGAAGTTTGTCACTTTGGCAAGAGACCAAAAAAGCTCTACTGTCAGATGGTTTGTCTGGATCTGATGGAATGTCAAGTTGTTAAACTACTTAACAACTATTGCAGTTAACCTACTTAAACTATATACTATTACAAATATTCCTCTCGATGTGTTTCACGATGGTTCAGAACTCTTCATGCGCCAGTCCGACTCTCACTTTGCCACTTATTTATTTAAAGCTTTCATATGTAGCAGATTGAAATATGTTTCAATTGTATGATAGTAACTATCTATGTTTTTCATGTGACAACAATGAAAAGGGAACTTACTGGACCTATATTTTGACATTTCGCTTTTTCTGTGGTAATTATGTCGAATTTGATGCCAAATGGATTAACTAACGTTTGCACTGTTATATTATGCCTTCCAAATAAGTTTTGTTTCTCAGTTTTTCGAGCTCCTGGGCTTTGTTTAGTAAATATATAATGAGAATCCGCTACGTCAGCGCCGCATTTACGACAAAGAAGTAACTCTAAAATAAAATAATGATTCAAATGCACACTATGAAAGTCATGACTTAGTTCTGTAAATTATTTACTGATGTCCTTTGAATGTACCTTGTCCATACTTGTCATCGGGACTATGAGCAGTACAATAGATATGCGAACATAACAGTAAAATAAAACAGGCGATTAGAAACATTCTGTACCTACGATATAATGTTATGCACTGTAATATAAATTAATAAAACCTAAAATGTATGTATTAACAAATAGCATTTTTTGACACATAGTTTCTACTAATGTATTTTATTGATTTTATAATAAAAAAAATATAATTATATTTAGTTTATCAATAACCAACCTAAGTTACATATGTAAACGTTTTAATTAAATACTAATACATCGAATAATAAAATTTAAATAAAAAAATTGGTCTTTAAATAGGGATATTCGATATACATCGATGCATCGAATTCACTCGATGTTTACAATACGATGCATCGAACCGATCCGATGTTTTGGAAAGTTATTGATATACTCGATGTATCGATGTATTTTCATAAAACATCGAATCAATGATAACCATCCAATGGTAAAAAGGGTATACTTATATCACTATTAATATTATAACGTCTAAATCAGAAAAACAGCGCTCTGATTTAGAAGTTATAATATTAAACCTGTTGGTGGCGCTACTTGGCATCTGTCAGTCCTTAGCGGAATCAAGAAATTGGCTAGTTGGCAACACTGTGCTAAAGAGAATCAAAAAAAATCGTCTGGTCTGTCTCGGTTTTAAGGCGGCTACTCACTTGCATGCCGCACGGCAATCTAGGATGAACAGCGATCGGGACAATATCAGAATTGTCTCTTTATACACATGCCTGCCGTTCAGTATGAAAGTGTACATCTCGGTGGATACATGCGTTGAGAATGGCGCCAGTTTGCTTGCAGTGCTGCCGTAAAAAATAACAAAAAAGAGAAAATGGGTGAAGAAGCCGCTGTTTATACATATCTATCACCAGTGTCCTAATTTCACATTTTTTATTGATATCTATTGTGAAGTGTGCTGCGCGCGAAAGTCACTAACGAACTGATTGAAATTGTTCCAATTGCGCTACACACGTGGCAGCGGTAGCTATGATCTAGGGAGCAAGGAAGTTCTTGCGCCCCTGCCGCCCAGCCACAGGGCCGACTTAGGAAGTTACCCCTGCTTTCATACACACATCACAATTAAGGAGGAAATTAAGGGTAATCCCCACTTCTACACCCTAGATTGCCCCTGCGGCAGTCAAGTGAGTTGACGCCTTTAGACCATTTAACACAGTGGACTCGCCTCACATGATTATTGCCCTCCGCCAAAGTATTGAATTTAAAAATCTTGTGCGTTGATTAAACCTGCTTACGGAATCGTTTTTATAAACGCACTAGATTTATATCCTTATAAAAATCATTTCCGCCGAAGTAGGTGCTTTTTGAAAAATGCCAATCGGTGCGGTTAACGTGTGCATAAAGCAGTCAAATACTTAAAGTTTACAAAAAGATGGAGTTGTATTCCATATGTAAGTATTTTTTATTGTGAATGTATCATTTTTTATCATTTAAAATAATATCATAAACATTGACCTACTACTAAATGGACCTCGGCTATGCGCTCAAAAGTGTCCGAGCCAAAAGAGTTCCAAAAAGAGCTCGAATTGAACGCCAGTCTTCGTTTTGTCGCCCGATAATACTCCAAATTGCCGTACAGTATCACAAAACGATTAAAACTATTTATATATTTTTTCGATACTATTTATATTAGACTATTAATATTTAATAATTTAAAAATATTTTGTTTAGATACAATATACGTAGTATTTAATTTAAATTCACATTAATTTTAAAAACAAAAAATCATACCGATAATTTTCGCTAAAAGCTTCATAAGGCGAAAAGAATGCAGCCTCTGGTTAAAGTTAAAAGGCTGATAAATTGTCGCAAGTAAAATTATATATAATACGTTTGCATAGGTTGACTCGGGACACATTATTCGTGAATTTTGTTCTAGATCCGCCGTCCATTTAGTATTAGGTGAATGATCATAAATAATAATTTATTTATTCTTTATTGCATTCCTTAATATAAAAGAATACAAAGGGAATAATACAAAAAAAAATCTACCAGTCAACCCACGAGAATTTGACGTAGGTATAGCAGTATAAAATAATAACAAAATAAAAATGATAATTAACTAAGTTATATATTAATTTTACAAATATATAAAACAAATATACTATAGAAATTTCTCCTATTTATGCATATATACAAATATATGCATACAGACTTATACATACATATATACACATCAACATACAAATATAAATAATACAAATAAATAACTATGAATATTTACGTCTGTTAACAATATATTAGTTCTTACGAATAAGACACTTTGTGTGTCATGCAATTAAGAATATCTATCTATCGAACTAACATCCTTGAACACACATACACACTCACAAAAGGCGTGCGGGCAGACAGTACTGATGTAAGAGTAGTAGATCATTCAAAATTGTCGGTTGTTTGAAGTCAGAAAAAGTACTCGATGTTGAAAAAACATCGATGTTTTTAACCGATGCATCGGAATATATCGATGCACAGTTTCGATGCATCACATCGAAAAAAACATCGATGTATTTTCAAAGTGGACACCCCTATCTTTAAAAGCTTCGATCATAGACAAATAGCATTTTTTTAATAACTGGCTTTACGGCTCTGGGATCTAGCCCTTCTGGGCCTGAAGTTACAATATATTATAATTATCCTTCATAGTATATTGCTTCACAATATGTTGATGCGTCACATTGTGCAGCCCTTAAGAGATTTTGACGGCAACTTGAGTCAGCAGACAGCTGACGGTTGGCGATGGTATCTCAAGGCGCCTAAGCAGAGAGACACCTTATTTTGAGAATCACATCACCATCAGAGCACTTGTTTCACAGTTTCCACTAATAGTTCACATGCGCAGACATTTAATACACAAAATCGCACCACTTTTACATATGAAAGTCCACTTCAAACCTTTATTTAAACAATAATACAGGAGCAGCAAACCGCCGCCTGTCAAGTTCCCGCCAAAAACCTCAGACAAATAGCAGTGGCGCAGTGGCCATAGATTACTGTACGTAATGTACTAGAGATCACCTAGAGATAGATACGTGACTCATTATTGCGCTGTGTTTACCTAACAGATACCACTAAATTAAACGTGCTTTAAGCTCGCTTTTATTTGCTAAATTATAAATATTATTTTATAAATAAATATAACAGATTAGTACCTATACTCGAATTATCTTAATAACATTTGTGGAATGAGGGCTAATAATATTCCCATAATGAGGTAAATCTTAAAAATATAAAATATAGCTAATAGACCATAAAGAAACATTCAATTTGACATTATTCGAACAAATTAACTTCCTAGCTATGAAATCTGTGAAATACCTCACTTTTAAGTGGCGCCACCCTGTTGGTAGAATAAGGCGTGGATAACCTCATTGGTAGAATTATTATAATTTTGTTTTATTTTTGTGTACCAGAAGAAGAAGAACCAGTGGATAAATTATTAAAAATGTCGGAATTTAAACTCATCCCGAATGAATTAACTAAAATTATACCAACATTTAGTGGCGTTAAATGCCATTTAAATTTATTATTATTATATAATAAATAACTTATATAATGCAAATTGTTACTAGTCGTCTTATGGGCGAGGCTGCGTCTCGAGGCTGGGAAGATATAGAGACGTGGGCAGAATTCAAGGAATTGTTTTTAACTCACTTCGGTGACCCACGTAGTGTAGAATATTTAGCCATAGAATGGGAAACTAATTTAAAGATACACAAAAATGAAAATTATATAGATTTTTGTGGCCGTACACAATCCGTTAAATCAGTGCTATTATCGAAGGTTAATCCAAATTAGTGATAAAAACTTGAGAATTAGTAAAACTATTATTCACAATAACACCGCTCTGAAGGTTTTCTTATATAATTTATCCGACAATATGGTGCGCATTGTTAGACTGAAAGCACCCAGTGCATTAGGAGAAGCATACAGACTAGCCATACGCCTAAGCAACAGACTAGTGCAACAACCATCCTTTAAGTTTGCAATGCCAACACAGCGTACAGGTTTTAGACCAATGTTAATACCAAAACAACCCCCTAGGCAAAATTTCGGGCATTCGCCAGAGACAATAAATGAAAATTCCATTACCACAAAGTAAGCCTCTACAGAAAATGGGTTTTCCTAAGAAATATTACCCAATTCGGCTTATATCGATCTTATTTAGGTTTTAATTATCCTAATAATAATGTACATAATACGCCGGTGCCTAATGATACGGATGTTTCTATGAGAACTGTCCCTCCGAAGTTTTTTCAATCAGGTTTCTGCCTAAATTAATTAGAAATTTATCCATCATACTACCCCTACGAATGTCCTGAAAATTATATGTATGATGTAACATACGATAACTGTTATGAAGAGGAATCCATTCAAGAAAATCCTATAATAGAGTCCGATGAAAGAAATGAAATAGATGATAATGACATGTCTTCGCAGACTGAATATTTTCAGGTAAAAGCGTCCAAAGATCATCTAAAATTATAGAATTGAATTGTGATATAAAAAAAAACTTATAATATACTATAAATACTTAGCGGTAAGCCACCGCAGAGTCTAGTTTACCTGAAGATGCCTCGTGTAGAGGCGAAACACGTGTCGTATTGTCGTCAGTGGTGTGTCTTTCCTAGTATAGTGGTGTTGGGAGTACTGGTGCTGGGATTAGTGGTGACGGTGATAGTGCACGCAACTGAGGGAGGGCGGGCGGTGCTCTTCAAACTAGGTAAGACACATCATTTTATTTTATCGAGCGGATGTACGCGAAGTAATTTTTTTACCAACTTTAATATAATGGACTTCCGCAAAGTAACGTATGATTTTATTAATTATGTAATATGAAACTTAAACTATCATACATATAAATATATATACCGGAAATAGATGCAAATTTTATGTAGACACAGGAAGTACCCGTTCTTTTATAAGTACCGATAAAGCACATCAATTCAACCAGAATTTTATAACATATGAACCCTTTGAAGTCAAAAGCACTCATGCATCTAACAAACAAAATCAGGCTAATACAATAAGTAA